ACACCGAATCTAGTGTGACTATGAAATATCCAAATATAGACAAGGCACCAATAGCACTAAAAAAATCCATGTCCAAAAACGTACATCCGTCCAGAAATGGTCATATTCCTTGCTAATATGTACAATAAATACCTGCTGTACAGACAATCATTAAACCTAAACTAATAAACGGTGAGACAAACTTTGAAACGGCGGATTTCATTGGGACAATTTCAACGTGAAGGATTCTATTCCAACGAAAAAATGTATACGGGAGTTGGTACGGAATTGGGAAATGATCCCCGTAAAAGTATTGGACAAGGAGACAGAAACCAATTGGGGAGTCCCCGTGTAGGATGAGATCCGCTGAGAACTTCTGTTGATCATTTTAGTGCAGGATTGTACTTAAATATTTTCATGAATTAGGTGATCTTACCGATTTGCGGGACTCTTTCGTAATTTGTTTTCCCTGTAAATTTCTCTTCGTTAATAAATTAGTTGCAGCCATATTTAACACATGGATAAAATAGCTTGGGTTATCAAACTGTTTATGTGTTTTTTTCTAGATGGATTTTTGGTGAATGTTTCTTCTTGTTAAATAATAGTTTTGGTGCAACCTCAGAAGCGATTTTTTGCTCAAATGGTATTAATCGGAGGGCTAGACCTGTATCTAAAATTAAATTCTGAGTACGTATTTGGATTCAAAAGTCAAACTAGATTTATATTCCAAATCATAATTATACTGTGATACAAGAAAAGTTATAGTCGACCAAAAAATGCTACAAAAGGTATGTCGCTTGTCTACGTATGTAATACGCAGAAGGTTTTCATGTTATAAAACACAATTTAACTTAGCAAATAGCAGAATAAATAAATAATGAAGTTAGCAATAACCTAAGCTTGGCTGCTTGACCTCAAATAAATCAAATTATCTGGTAAAGCTTTTAAGCTATGAAATACAATTTCTGATACGGCAACCAATATAAATCTTAAGAATGGTATTTATTATAAGTATGTATGCTTTCTGTAAAACTATTTAATAATTCATTACTAAGGATAATACGGTAAAGGTTGAACTATGTATAAGATTAAAATTATTTATTATTAACCGACGAAACCGTCGATTTTGCTGGTATTAATTTAAAATTAATCTGAAGCGTCTCCACCTAAGAATAGAAAATTAGTTTAAGTAACTCTTATTTCTTAAGTTGCTGAATTTAGTAGCATATTTTTAATGAAATCGGAAGTTCAGTTTGTCAAATATTTAAGGAAAATGGGAGAAATACCTTCAATTATTATTTTAATATCAGGACGGATAAATCAGACAGAATTAATGAGAAATTAAATAAGTTTTTATTCATTAAAATTAATCATGTTTACATATAACGTTAATTTGCATTTAATTTATAAAATACATTTAATCTATTCGTATCGACAGCAAACAAGTAATAGTGTGTTCCACAATTACTTCATAAATTTCTACCTTCCCTTCCATCGTGCACTCTTTAAATGCAAAATGACCCATGCCGATTCGAAGTCCTATCGGGTACAAAGATTTAACACGTTTTCTAAGAATTTTATACTTGAAACTGTCTCCACCATTTCCATTATTACTGCACATATAAAATCTAATTCTTTCCTTCAATTCCAATAATAATTTCCCCTCAGCCTCCCCACAATCCAGCACTATTGAAATCAGTTTAGGAATTACCGTAAAAATTCCGGTCGAAATTGATGCAAAACACAGGTAGAATATCGTATTAAAAATCCCATGCATCTTAATCGTTGCAAAATTACTTAAAATGGCTAACCCAACCAATGTTATGCTACTCAAACACAAGATATTCATCGTCTCGATTCTACAATGTTGTAAAATTATTCGAAAAATATTTAAATGATGGCAGCATTTTTCTATCTCTGAAAAATATTGTGGCCCAGGATACACTTTTTGCAAGGATGATGTTAGTTTGCGGAATACTGTGGAAAATCCGCAAGTCCGCAATAAAATGTATAATATGCAGAACGCAAACATTCTCGCACCTTCAAGTGTACAGATAAAAATGTAAATTACTCGAATTAGAAATACCAAATTTGTTACAAATAGAGATTCAACCTCCACCTCTAACGAGATTAATACTAATTTATAAAAAATGTAGGGAGGATCTACTTCTAAAATTATGAAGAATGGAGCAAAAACAAAGGGAAGAATTACATAATATATCATTCCCAGTTGAAAAAATTTTAATATACAAGCGTCTTCTTTGAACTTGAAAACTTTGGTCTGTTTTGGACGTAAATGTTTTTCCTTAGGTTTGGTGGAAATTTTTCCTGAAAATTTTAGCAACAATTAAATATTTGGGTATATTTTGGTACTATTATTTGTATCTAAATCTGGAAATACTTACCCTTTTCGAAACAGGTGGTAAACATGGCACAAAATTGATTCGTAACGGTTGTGGTATCTTCAAGTAAAACGCACAACCAGATAAACATACTGAACGCAAATATTCCTAAAATTAAGACAAAGAAACAAACGAAGATTTTCACCATTGTAACATAATCTGTCCCATTTGGGACAAAATTTAGCCATAGGAGGCAAAGCAATGTTCCCACGAGTGCTAAAGAGATTGAAATTCCGATAAAAAACGCCCAAATCTTAAAACCGAGCTGGTTCCGGGGTATATGAAATGCTCGCTTATTTTCAAAATCAAAACATATAGGATTCCCACAAGTGGGGATATCCTTTGGAATGTATTTTCAGGCCGAGCCAAATGCCTTTGTAATCCATTATCAGGATTTAAATGTCAAAACGTGATTAATAAGTTTTTATGATGAATTGTGTACTCGAAAATTGTTATCTGGATTTTCTTTGAGCGATTAATGCAAGACAAAGTAATAAACTGAACAAAACTTTGTTCCACGAGGAATATTGATCGTATTTGTCTAAATTTTTTAATAATCTTCCTTTGGCAGCAAATTCTGGACAGTGTTCGCCATTATATAAGTATAAAAGCAGCGCTTGTTATATGTTTTTTTGCTGTGTTCATGCTTTTCCTCTAAATTGCATAGTTACTCCCTCTACCCAATATCAGACGAGTGCAAACCTGTGCAAAACGGATATGCACCTTTGAAACGGATTCAATTAAAACATCAGAAATTATTGCGAATTTCAATTCCTGTTACCTATATGTGTATAATAAGATATTGACATTTAGTTGAAGGTCATTAACGCAAAATTTGAATGGATGATGGTGGTTAGTGGCAGACTCATTCCTAGACTGGAGTTATTCGAATGTATGCAGGTTTTGATGGTATTATCCTAAATTGGGACTAAAACTTTCACAACGTTACTGTGGTGAAGCGAAAAAGAATGAAAGGAAATTTTCCGAAGAACTTTATATTTTAACATGTAGAATTTGTAGCATTTTGCCCAGCTCATGGAAAACAACAAAAAAAGCATGCATTTTACTGTACATAAGCAAAAAAACTGTTTTTTTTCAACAAAACGACAAAACAGCAAACTACCAAATTTTTTGCTCGGGCGAACACTAATTCTTGACATTTATGGTTTTGTGTAATAAAAGTCGGTTATTCTAAGGAAAGCTATAAAATAACTTGGAATATTTGACGATTAATTATATTATAAAATTCGTATGGCAACCTCGAATATCCTCTATTATAATTGAGGATATTAGATGTTTATCATAACTTATATAAGTTAGGATAACTGATAACTTTTATTGCGATGTTTGTTCAGTTGTATATACTTTTTTGATGATTGCAATATTTTTAGCATTTTATAACATTTAATATTACTAATCATGAAGTAAATTGTTTTTAATGGTGAAAGAAAGTATTGATATGAACATAGAACTAAACAATAAAGAATACGTGTTTCTGCTCACATAAATTTAGTTCTAAAAGTATTACAAATATTTGTATATCGTCGTTCTAATTCTTCAATGAGCTATGTGCCGCCTGTGCTTAATTTTACAATGAGCTAAGTGCACGTAAATACAATGTTAAATGGCTGTACTTAGCTCATTGTAAAACTAAGCACAGGCGGCACATAGCTCATTGAAGAATTAGAACGACGATATGATTTAACAATTTAATTAAAAACAATGAGAAAACTTGCATAAATAAGTCCTGCTTCATAATGGGAAACAGTGTTCGGCAAACAGCAAAGAAGCATGGATCGCTTAATAAACTTTTGCTTATTACATAGTTTTTTGCTGTTTTGCTGTTTTGCTCATGCTTTTTTTGCTGTGTTGTTTTAACAGTCGCCATTTAGCGGCGTACTATATAACTACCATGTTATAAGTTTCAATACAGAAAAATAAGTATTCGATTTTGAAAAGCAAAAAGTGCTTTTTTGCTAGGGCGAACACTGATGGGAAATAAAGGCAATATTTTAAAACTTAAATAGTTAAGCCGGCTCCATACTCACGTATTTTATGTCACGTAGCCAATCCTGGTTAACTTAACCTAACGTAACCTAACTTGACATTGGATAGTGAACATGACATGAAAATATGTGAATATAGAGCCTGCTTTAGTAACAAATAAAATATTCAATTTAAAAAGCCCTCGTTCAAATAGGTATTTAACATTTAAATTTTTAACTGTCTCTGACCTAAGAGATTTAATTAACAGACTTGCTAGTGAATTATATATCAAGCTATAAATAGATATATCGTATTCAACGGTATATTAATTAATTGCCATCAATAGGCGATGGTAACCTGTGTATGAGAAGGTTTGAGAGATAAAGTATTAAAAAATTTGACTTTTAAGGGTTTTCAGAAAGAGAAAGCTTTAAGCAGTCCGAAATTCCTGGGAAAAATAACCATTTGGTGTAATTGGATGGGTTTGTTGACTGGTACATGAAAAGCTGCTGTAAGAGGAGGGTTAAATAATAACTTATTGTTAGGAATGGGTGCCATATACCAGCAAACTCGCAGAATATGTATAGGATTCTATAAAACCTGGGCTACGTAAATGCATGTCTCAGCACGAAAGAAATTTTGACATTTATTTATTACGAGTTCCTTGTGTGATACATATTGAAGAATTATGTACATGGAATTTTCGTAAATTCATCATATAATTTTATTTTGATAATAAATTAAATCCAAGAAAACTTGTTTTGATTATAAATACACTTTTGAATAACTGCATTATTCTTCCATCTTCTGTTTTTGAATTTCTGACAAATTCTACTGTAATTTAGCTGGCATAAAACAGTTCCTGATTTTCATCAAGGACTTCGCGTACTTATGAATCCCGCCCTCGCCTATAGTTCCAGAGCTTCCTGTCAGCTTGTACCAAATCCTGAGCGGTGCGAATGCCGCGTGGGCAAGGTGAAAGTTATCCGTATCGGCGTAACAAGTCACAAGGACGCCATCTGCCAACAAAGTCCCGTCGGTTGTGAGTGGACAGTAAACGCCACTGCAGATTTCCTCACCAATTTTGATAATATTTACGAATCCATTTTGACAAAAGAGTACATCTCCTGCGATAATATTGTGCTATATATAATTTATTATTTATAAAATATTTCCCAGTTATTTGTACCTTCCTTGATATATCTTGCAGTCTTATACTTCAAGACGTCGACTTCATTGCAAATAATCATCAAATGATCTTCAGTAACGGTTAAGGTGTACCCATTGGACAGACGTAATTTCAAAAACTTTGATACACGATTTGAATCATGATGCGCAAATCCGTAGCACTGACTCCATCGTTGTCCCCCATTGTGCGTCATGGTGATCAAATGTTCACCGACTTGCAGCTCATGCATAAATTTAGGGCCAGTTTTGGTGACGATTCTTGTCCATGAAGGGAAACAACTGGATTCATTGGTCGGGGTTTGTTTAGCAGTAGTGATACCGGCCGAGGACATACCAATACGGGTGGTTGGTTGTATTATTGCGATGGTTGCTGTAGGCGAAGCTGCTGTTGTGGGGCTCTGAGCTTTTGTATCTTTCACCTCGGTCGCTGCTTTCACAGTCTGGGTGCCGCGGTGTGTTTCATCTTGTACGGTTTCTGACGGAATTGGTTTAACCTAATTTTCAAAGTGACAATTATTCAACCTGAAAATTAGTTCATGTTATAAGTAATATAAAATCAAATAAATATATTTACTCCAATATTTAAATCCATCATGAGTTGATTTATCTCCTTCAACTGTTCTGCAGCCTCAACGCCCAGCTCAATTGATTCATTTTCAGTGTCGACTTCCGGATCGTCATCCCTGTCTGGGCAGGTCGGACTGAAATACCAAGACACTAGCAGACGACACAAGGTATCGTTTGTTTTCGTGAATAAATTGAACATTTCCTGCAGCAAATTGGCATGATTTAAGGAATCATCCGGTAAAAGGAAGAAATCTCCAGGCTTGTCCAAATTAAAATCTTCCGGTAAATTTTCAACAAAGACGACGGGAACGTCATTAATTCCGACGTTCTCCAGGACCAATTCTTTGACAAGTTTCTGAATACGATTTGTGTTTTGGATGTATTTCTCCGGTTTCAGTCCCAGCCCGGCGGCATGAGTCCCAACCAGGATAAGATTGGGGTGTTTGTTGTCAACCAGATTTTGCTTTTTTAGGATTTGAAGCGATTTCACGAAACCTGTATCCTTTCCCTTCATTCGAGTATTGGGTGCATTGAAGGTGAAGAGCACAGTATTTGAGAATACCTACAAGAAAATAAAATCAAAATAGTTTATGATGGTTAAAGTGCGCATTTCCGTTCACAAACGTGACGTTCAAAGCTGAACCCAGTAATGTATTAAGTAGATACATAGATTCCAGACAGAAGGCTAGCCCAAATTGTCGGTTAGGGCACTAAATTTTTTGTGAAAGGGATCAGAAGGGGAAGGGTATTCCCGTGTGTGTTATGCTTTAAGAGGACAAACCGACGAAATCCGACAATAACGAGTCAATATAAGTACAGGTTAATTAAAAAATATTGAAATTATTGAAATTTACCTCATCCCGCAGTCCTATCGACCTCATATAAATGGGAAGCCCTCGTTTTTTTAATGATTTATACCCATTCCGGAATTGCAGAATTTTTGCAAAATTTCCAGTCTCATTTGTCCTGTCACTGTCCAGCGAGCCAGGAACATCAACAAAAACCAAGTCCGCGGAGATTTGAGGTGGACCAACGTCCGTCACTAGCAGCTTTTTTATATACTTTGTGACTTCCGTCGTCTGGGATGACTCGTCAGACACGGCACACAAGTTGTCATCTTCAAAGAGCTTGTTGATCGTCATGGACTTCCCCGATCCAGATTCTCCAGCCACTACAATAATCCCACAATCCAGGGGCCGCCCGTTGGTTAACCCGTTAAATGAGTATTGTTGAATAAGCTTGGATTCTGGGTGTTCAAAACCCATGTTGGGTTTGAATATTCCGTCAACAATGAAATTCCTGAGTGTCTTCTGTTCTTTATCTTGTAAAATGGCAGACAGTGTTGCCAGATCGGGCGGTAATTTCATCTAATAATTAGACACATAATGTTTATCAGACATGTAATTAATTATTTTACGCATTAGCAGCCTTACCGATTGAGCTACAATATCCTCCCCCTGCGTCCCTGCAGTTTCCACTGGATTTTCGGAGTGTTCCACATATGTCGGATTATTTTCCATTTCTTAAATAAAAATTCAACTGGAAAACAGATAATTGTATTTCTCAACGGACAAAAGTCAAGCCAGACACGGCTCAATGCAAACAACGAATGCAATTAGATTGGAGAATGGAGGCTGTTGCATCTTTATCGTTGTACATATACCTACAAACATAACTCTATGCGATATGTGGTATCCACCAAATGATAAGAATGGAGAAGCAGCCAGCCACCCACAATCACTATCCCTGGCATGGTTTCGCTTTATTAGGACAAGGGAAAGCTGTATGTCAGGGGAGCATGGCAAGAGGCCTCATTGTAATTCCTCCCTACCATAGAATATATACTATGGAACTTGTAAATATCTATTTACAGTCGTATTCAGCTGCGACTTTGTTCATGGGAATTGGTTGGCCCAGGACTGATGGGTAAATTTTTTTTCTTATTATGATCTTTTTCCCGACGTCAGTGTCTCGTTGATCAAACATGTTATTCTACAAATGTATGTATATAGAATTAAAAACGCGATTTCATGCGGACTCTTCGAATTGCATTCTCTAGCCGGGGAATGTTTCCTAACTATTTTTATTCCACTCGATCATCATGCATGCAGGGGCAAAATTCACTTTTGCTATGATTACAGAATCTGGAGAAAATTAATTTAGTAGAAATGCAAATCAGTTTGACCACACACTGAAGTGGATGGGCTTGAATCACAAATTGACCTATGTATAATCCTTCTTGTAAGAATATTGATCACAATCTCAGGATGCCCGCATCGGGTTTGACATGTTCACCCACCTTCAATAAAGTCATATCGATGTCTGGTTATTTTGACGGCATACGTACATTGTGGACCAATTTTGATTAGAAATTTAGGAATTATTAAGATCACCGTAAAAATGGAACTCAGTAAAATCGGTTCCACAGGGCTGTCTCGGTTTAAGAGCGTGAGTCTGGCATTCACCTGGCGCATATATGTATTATATAGGATATAAAATCATAGTGAACTGGTTTGTGAGTGCCCCCATTTAATGTCCCTTTAGTGCAAAATTTTAACAAAGAAAAGCATTGAAGGGATCAGTTCCAGACAGACTGAAGCTATGTAAATGTTTAAGTTAATTATTACATTTTTTTTTAAATTAAACATATCAACTCATATATTCATCCAGTCACGTGCGTCACGAATCCCTGCAATGCTTTACGCAGATTACAATTAAAGGGATTGGAATTTACGTGAAGGCTTCAGTGGAATGGAAGGTCGACAGTGGACGTCGATCAGGCTATCGAGAAAAAAATCTGAAGGGAACAGACACCGCAGAATAACTTAATTCTAGATCGACAGGGGAAATTTCTTCAATCAAGTTCCTAACAGTTAGGCAATACAACAAACAAGACCATCTCGTGAATATTTTACTAATGTAATTTCTATATTTAATACAAGTCTGCCAAAATTCATGAATACAAAATTTGTTGGATTGTAATATCCATTAAATCAGTAAGTAGATCAATATATCAATCAATCAATCAATCAATCAATCAATAATTATAAATTAAATTTCGTCTCCAATTCTAAATGGAAACATAAAACTTGTAAATTAGATAGCATTGACGAAAACGATTTCATTTGGACTCGCTTGCAGAAAAAAACAGTGGACGAATGCGACATTGTAAATTTTAAATAGTCTTTAATATAAATCTTTCGAAAGAAACCGATTCTTTCATCAGGATGGGTGCTATATAAATCTGTAATAAATCGTATCTGTTAAGTTAAAACTTAGCTAGCAAGTATAATTTTGATGAGCTGATTTTTCAACACACCTATCAAAAGTGCATTACTCTACTTGTAATTAATTCTTAATCGTGAAATACTTAAGTATCCAAAAACGAAAGTCATTTTTTACATTAATTATTTTAGCCTGTGGTTTGGAGACATAGGGCGAAACAAGTACAATTTTCATACACAAATCAATATATGTAAATACACATATTTCTCCAGATTTTTCTTAAGTGTCTTATTACAACTTACTTATTACACCGTTAGTTTTAACATTGATATATTTTACTATTCCCAAGTCATGAGGGCACTAACTATATTATTCTGCACTGTGTAAAAGTAATCTGCTAAATTGCATCTGTTACATTTGAATAATTTTTCCCCCAAAAACACCCCGTGTATCGAAATCTCCCGCATAGAACGTAACCTTCGTACCACATAATTCTTTTCGTTACTATCTTTCGCGTAAAATTTGCATGTAGCCAACATTTCTATACTCGTCTGATTAACACATATTAATACCGTAACGAGAAAATATACAGAAATCAGGGCAGTAATAAAGTAAAAGGGGAAGATCAAATACAACGGCATTGGAATTTGGTTCCGCATCCGTACCGTGATGAACCCACATAAAACTGACGAAATTGATATCGAAGTCATCGAAATCAACGCAAAAATCCCCCATGGTTTCGGTAAATAATTTTATGGAAACTTCGATATCTCTGTAATCTCTGAGATACTTATCGACACGACTACGAATATGACTTCCAACGCGGAAACACCTTTCATTAAGTTGTTTGATGCAGTGCAGATCGAGGTAGACTAATCCGATTGCAAAAAGAAGAATAAAACTTATTGTACGACAGATTTGTGTAAACAGTAAAACTAACAATGGACTACAAATAAAGTATAAGCGGCGAAATCCTGACTGAATGTGTGAGGTTGTACAGTGTTTCACGATTAGAATGTAGGGGTCCAACTCAATTTTGTGCCAGATGAGGAAGAATACCTGAAACCAAGGAATTGTTACAGCGGCTATACACACGAAGAAGAAGAAGAATCCTAAGATGTCACTTGAACGGTGTTTTCGGCTATCTAAGACAGGTTAAGAAATACAAGTTACAAATTTGTTAATAAATTAGAAATCCTTATTCTAGGCAAGATTCCTAGAATCAAGGTGAAAACACGTAAATTCTTTGTTGTCTCAGTACACATGGGCAAAAGCTAAGTATTGGTTTCTGGCATCGAGCTCAATCCTTTCACATTCTTCAACCTGCTCCTGCTCATTCCTAAAAATAATTAATTCCCCTCCAAACTAACTTTGGTTAGGAATTTTGATTCCCCTCATATCCCGAAATACCAATGGGTAGCTTGGCCACCCCACAAAGTACATACAACTGATGGTGCTACCCCTTTAGTGTTTAATAAAACATTATAGGAGTGCTGCCTTCAAAAAAAGATAACAAGGAATTGGCTAAGTAGATTGTTGGGGGGGGTACCACGCTCATCGATCCACTCATCGCCAACGTCGTCGCCAACGACGATAAGCGTGATGGGGAAGTTGAGACGAGCTACGCATGTACATATATGTGCAACACACAGGCTACATCCCTGTATGAACATTAAATTTAATTAATTACATTGAACTAAGAAGGTAGTGCAAAATTGTAACACGATTATATGCACGATTATATGCATGCTCTCTCTTGAATGATCCCCTTGTAAGGGGGTTGTATACGTGTCAGGTGCATTGGGGCGGAAATGGGGCACTCTTTTGCAACATTTCTGGAAATTGCATCATGTTCAATATACACATTGCAAGTCTCAATCGTGAGTTATATGCAACATTGCATCATGTTTTTTATAGAAATTGCAAACAGTCCATAAATTCATCATTAAAGATGCAACATTGCAGAAAATTGCATCATGTTTTTAAACTTAGTGAGCAGGGCCACTGTGATACTTGTCTCACACGTTATACGCAATATTGAAGAAAATTGCATCACATTTGTTTAATTTGCAACGCAAGTCAGCACATCAACTACAACTGGATTATATGTGTTGCACATGTGTAACACGTGCTATCAAACCACTATGAAATGGGGCATTTGTGGCCACACCATGTAGGCACATTAGAATTATAACGATCTTTGTGTAACACATTCTCCACATGTGCTAGCACATTTACATTTAAAACACATATCCCTTTAATGTGCATCGAACGAACATTGATCCATCAACTCTTGCGGACAGGGATTGAAAGAAAACTTGATTGACGATATTAATATTATTACGTACATTGTACCCACCTACGTGAGTCATTGCCCAGGGAGAGCAAAGGGAGAAAAGCGAGAAAAATCCCTGGGAATTGAACTCAGAGTCCACGCAGACAAAGGTCCCCTGTGCTTCGTCACCCTCCTCTATGTGGTGATATGTGGTTTTGTTATAAAAGGGACCCCTTAAATGTGGTCATGAGTCAAATGTACGATATATTCAATTGGGTTCGAAAGTTAGAGTTACTATGACTGTGTGTCAAGCTGTTCATATTTATAAGCCCGTGTATGCAAAATGCTTGCGGCTTGTCGAATATCCTTAAATTCTGTTCACCAGTTCTTCTATACGAATGGGAATTTTTAGTGTCCGCCAATTTAATAAGTCCGCAGAGGAATACAAATATCTTTTCCAGTGGTGGGAGTTGGTCGGGGATTGAAAATATCATGGAGGCACGCTATTATACTATTTTTCCCATTTGCTCTAAAAGCCTTCTAGGCAACCTTCCACAACGTATATTAGAGCTACTAATGGTTTTGGAAGTTGGAAATCCGTGCCACTCAGTCAGTTCTTCCAATGTCTCCAACGAATACCTCTGGGTATAAAATTTTTCCAGACGACGCTTATTATTTAATATTTGGTGACAATTATGCCCTAGAGTATAAGGCTAATTAAGGTTGACATCAAGTATTTGAATTGATGTGTTGACTAACACTATTTTAAATATTGAAAATAGGTATGTAAACAAGTTTGATGAAATGAGAGAAGCTTACTTGTGTGCTGGACCAACTGGTGTATTGTGTAGCACATGTGCACACATGTGTAACACATGTGTCGACGAAATTAGGCATTCAGAATTGCGGTAAGAAACTACGAAAAGTGGGTGTGGCTGGTGCTTCTGGGGGGCGTGGTCATACTTATTAGTAATGTCCGCATTTAATGGAACAATGCACACCAGATGGTTCGAATTTCGCAACTATGTGTCGGGATTTCCGACACATTATGCACATGTGCAACACATTCTGCACATGTTATATAAATGTGTAAGCACATTTTAATCTCAGTCTTCATCCAACACTCAAACAGTGCACATCTCCCACACAATTTAAGGTGCAAGCACACAGAAATATCCAAAGTGTAAGCAATACCCTGCAAGATGGCGTTGATTAATCAAAGCCCCGATTATCTTATTCCCTTGCCAGCGGGCAGGGAATCAAAACAATTCAATCGAGTACTTATTGGAGGTGGAGACGACACACCTGACGAAGATGGGTTCGAATGCCCGGTTTGTGGAAAACACTTTGTTAGAAAATGGACTCTAGCTCGACACATGAAAGCCAAGCATAACAAAAGACTCTGTGAGGATTCAGACAGCGATGATAGTAAAAGATACAAAATTTGCTCTGAAGACGGCAGTAATCAATCTTCTGCTGACGAGTCTGAGGAAGAGGAAGGCGAAGAAGAGGACGGGAGTGATGCGGAAAGTAGCGAAGACAGTGAAGTAGAAGAAGAAGGTAGTGAGAAAGCAGATGATTCAGAAGATGAAAGTTCTGAAAAAGAAGACCAGGAGGCTATTTCAGAGAAAAATATTGACTGCCTCTTACACCTAATCGGAGCTGGAGAGCTGGGCAAACTTGAGGTTACTACTGAATCCTTACAGTGTTTTATTAAACCTGAGAAATGTCCAAAAGATGAAGATGTAAATTCGATTGTAGTATCTAGTCTCGTGTTGTCGTTGCTAAAGAAATTGTTGATTGCTGCTAAAAGAAATGATGTTTTTCTCACAGACACGCTATATATGGATATTATTAATGCTATTGAAATAGCGCTAGCATAATTTGGATTACATTCTTCTTGGCAAAAAATTGATCACATATTACGTTAATGATTTATGCGCATTCAAAAATTAAATAAATATGATTTTACATTATTTGTGTACACTTATAGTTTAATATACACTTTGTACCACCCTTACAGTATCAGAACTAAATTACACACAATACGTCCCTTTAGAACATGAAGAAAATCACAATTCTTATAACAAAGTCCTAATACAGTCCTATGTAAGTCCTACAAAACTCCTCAAACAGTCCTGCACTTGTATTCGGACCGCCTCTCTACCACGTAACAACCCTAGGTCATTCCAAAAGATACAAGTGTCGTGGCGGAGGGGTAGAGGTAAACAATTGACATATGTTATTAGCAGTGTCTTTTGCTTACGTCAATTCGGAATGTCTAATTTCGTCGACACATGTGTTACACATGTGTGCACATGTGCTACACAATACACCAGTTGGTCCAGCACACAAGTAAGCTTCTCTCATTTCATCAAACTTGTTTACATACCTATTTTCAATATTTAAAATAGTGTTAGTCAACACATCAATTCAAATACTTGATGTCAACCTTAATTAGCCTTATACTCTAGGGCATAATTGTCACCAAATATTAAATAATAAGCGTCGTCTGGAAAAATTTTATACCCAGAGGTATTCGTTGGAGACATTGGAAGAACTGACTGAGTGGCACGGATTTCCAACTTCCAAAACCATTAGTAGCTCTAATATACGTTGTGGAAGGTTGCCTAGAAGGCTTTTAGAGCAAATGGGAAAAATAGTATAATAGCGTGCCTCCATGATATTTTCAATCCCCGACCAACTCCCACCACTGGAAAAGATATTTGTATTCCTCTGCGGACTTATTAAATTGGCGGACACTAAAAATTCCCATTCGTATAGAAGAACTGGTGAACAGAATTTAAGGATATTCGACAAGCCGCAAGCATTTTGCATACACGGGCTTATAAATATGAACAGCTTGACACACAGTCATAGTAACTCTAACTTTCGAACCCAATTGAATATATCGTACATTTGACTCATGACCACATTTAAGGGGTCCCTTTTATAACAAAACCACATATCACCACATAGAGGAGGGTGACGAAGCACAGGGGACCTTTGTCTGCGTGGACTCTGAGTTCAATTCCCAGGGATTTTTCTCGCTTTTCTCCCTTTGCTCTCCCTGGGCAATGACTCACGTAGGTGGGTACAATGTACGTAATAATATTAATATCGTCAATCAAGTTTTCTTTCAATCCCTGTCCGCAAGAGTTGATGGATCAATGTTCGTTCGATGCACATTAAAGGGATATGTGTTTTAAATGTAAATGTGCTAGCACATGTGGAGAATGTGTTACACAAAGATCGTTATAATTCTAATGTGCCTACATGGTGTGGCCACAAATGCCCCATTTCATAGTGGTTTGATAGCACGTGTTACACATGTGCAACACATATAATCCAGTTGTAGTTGATGTGCTGACTTGCGTTGCAAATTAAACAAATGTGATGCAATTTTCTTCAATATTGCGTATAACGTGTGAGACAAGTATCACAGTGGCCCTGCTCACTAAGTTTAAAAACATGATGCAATTTTCTGCAATGTTGCATCTTTAATGATGAATTTATGGACTGTTTGCAATTTCTATAAAAAACATGATGCAATGTTGCATATAACTCACGATTGAGACTTGCAATGTGTATATTGAACATGATGCAATTTCCAGAAATGTTGCAAAAGAGTGCCCCATTTCCGCCCCAATGCACCTGACACGTATACAACCCCCTTACAAGGGGATCATTCAAGAGAGAGCATGCATATAATCGTGCATATAATCGTGTTACAATTTTGCACTACCTTCTTAGTTCAATGTAATTAATTAAATTTAATGTTCATACAGGGATGTAGCCTGTGTGTTGCACATATATGTACATGCGTAGCTCGTCTCAACTTCTCCATCACGCTTATCGTCGTTGGCGACGACGTTGGCGATGAGTGGATCGATGAGCGTGGTACCCCCCAACAATCTACTGGGCTAATATATAAGCTAATCGCTGTAGCCTTAATATATGACAGAATACGCAGGATACTACGTATACTCCTCGTTCTGTGCATAGTACCATGCTGTGTCCAATGAATACTTTATAAGTGTGTTGTTATCTTGATCTGATTGCGATCAAATCTAATCATCCTACCCCATCCGGTTAAGGTTGATTTGATTTGTCTTCGATCAAATCAAGCCATTCCTGCATCCTATCTGGTCAACGTATCAAATAAATGGTATCTGGTATTCGGGTAGACCTTACCTTACCTGACCCGTCATGGCCGTCCACAGAAGTTGGTCCGACAAATTAAACTACACAAATTTTGACGGATCCCGTAGATAAACGACGTAGTATGTGAATGATCCCCCCATCATATCCCACTAATGCTGCTAAGCTTAACGTGAAGATGCTTTATCCAGACAGACAGAACTGGGTGAATGTATAAGCTAATTAATGATATAAAATTGTGAAGTCTTACGAAATCCAAGTGAAGCCTCCTTCTTTATTATGTAATTCCGACCTTTGCTCCACTGCTCGGCGTGGATAAAAAATATATAAATTCCATAATAAAAATTACCCCAAAAGTGAGTAAAAGAAAACTCGTAACGAGCCCTTCGATTAAAGGAAGTTGAATTTGGCCAAGGGCGTGAGCAGCTATTAGAAAAATGCAGGCCAAGGTGGTCAGTAATGTAGCCCCTATTGCAAGAAAGTATGCCGACAACCTCCGTGATGTCGCCATGACGACGAATTCCCTACGAGTCGGATTCCATTCCACAAGTGGGAGTAGTGTTTTGAAAATAATCATAATGACGACCACATCCAAGGGGTGACGGACATTTTGATAAATTTCAGTGAAGTATAGTTCAAGCTAGAGCAAAAGTTTTTATGACACTGTGTGATAAAAAGTCTTCTGCATATATAGGCATATAGTCGTGGACATGGAACTAATCCAATTATTTTGTTATTTGCGAATATTTTTTGAGAGGAGGGATGAGTTTTAATAATTTCTTCTAGCAAGAAAGGAATCAATTTAATTTGGCTCACTCTAAATAGATGGTAAAATTAGAATTGAAACCTTGTATAAGTTTCGAATATGTTGAAAGTAATATCCAAGCCGACATATTATCTTTCTAGACGGATTATTTCATTTATTAAATAGATAAGTATTTTTCACCGGGAGGTCTTACCACATTTTATTACGAAGGGCATAGTTAGGTCTTCTGGAATTATTGAAAAAGGCTTACACGTAATTTTACATAAATTTATTATTTATTGCAATATTTCAATCGGGTCAGAAGCAATAGTACATTATTATTGTATGCCAGAACAAAATCGTAAATACAGATTACGAATGATTGAATAAAATAAAATATTGGAGTTCTCTAATACGGTTGGAATTACTTATATTATCAAATTTACGACATCAAACGAAGCCAATTACATATATTGGACCTGTGGACTTTGTCGGCCTATGATGGTTTTAGAAAAGTCGGGCAGCAGTTCGGGCTTGATAGTGGAAATGTTTACCTAATTATCTGTCGTTGTATCGACGGAATCTAATACAAATATACGCAAATGCACAGTCAAATAGGTGCAGACTTAACAATTTAAATATGCATGACAAGATAAGTTATAAATATAGTGAATGCAAAATACATGATGTAAAATGATACAAAATAATATAATGAATTTAAATTTTCCCAACACTGCAATTTTTAGTTAATGCAAGTTTAAATATATTATTTTAAAATTGAATCGTGGCCATACAATGTTCCTATATTTAAAGCCATTCAAAATCGAAACCTGTCCGCGCAACGCTATAATCAGAGACAAAAGTGACCAAACCCAAACCCGATTGCAGCGTTGTCGTTGGCGGTATGGATGTTCCGCACTGTCTGCAATATATGATTTCAATTAGTTTCATATTTTCATATTTGCCTCTAAATTATTTACCTGGTGACTTGGGTGTACTGATTGTCAAACCAGTTGTAAACTGTGACAGCGTCAAATCGGCAATAGGGGTGGTTTTCAACGTCCATTCTTGTGAACATGACGGTCCTCATGGCAGGCACGATGGGATTGATGACAAAGAGAGCATTTTCATTATTTCTGTATGACCCTCCACCCATGGGGTATGAACAGTTTCCACTATTCGAATTGAGACTTGCGAAACCGGTGATATCTCGGGTAGCATCATAAAACCCGGAAGAGAAGAATTCTAGCCGGAACCCGCGAGTAGGTGCGTGCCCAACGCTCAAAGTGACGAGGACGTAGCCAGAGGAGACGGTGTAGTTTTGTCCGACGGATGTCCTAAATAGCCGAAACATTTTAGTTTTGGTATTAAATATGAATTATATTTAAATATACTAATTTACATTCGCTGGTGTGTGACAGGTCCAGAACTGTTAAAATTGGTCAAATAAAGTCCATCCTTTTTGCTTAGGCCTGAAAGCCGGAATCGGACTGACTCATATGTAGCCTTGACCACCCAGACACATTTCTGATTAGCACGAATGGACGCGCCAAGTTGGAATTTGATTTCGCCGGACGATGCGTCGATGCGGCCACCACAGGTAGTAACTACAAAAGACAATTATGTCATGATACTTTGTATTTAATTTTTAAACTTTAAAATGGATTTATGTACATAACTTACTCGACACCACTGGGCTTGGGTTTTCATCAACTGGGGCAATTGTTCCACGAATCCATTCACCGAAATATGAGGGCTCGACGTAAACGCCGGGGTAATTTAGTTGTGCGAAACCATGTCTCCAAGACGCTATACCGCACAAAGTTTGGTTATCACCACAAAGGATGGGGCCACCTAAATCTATTGGAAATATGAAATAGATATTCAAAAGAAAATTTAGAAATTTTAGAAATTTTTATTCAATGTACCTCCAAACCAAGTATCTCTAACATCTTCGCCATAGCAAATCATCGATGGGACTATGGTGTTGTTGTAAATGGTGTTGCAGGTGTCGTCATCTACGCGAGGGACATCGATCTTCATCAAATTAGATGAAGGTGCACCAACCTCGGATAGACCCCCCCAACCAGTAACGGTGGCAAAAGCTGTAGGAGGCATTAGCAGGAAATATTTTTAAACTTCATCCCTATTTTATTTAAAAAATTATGGCTCACAAGTTGGTGCAAAGTTTGTGTCTGGAATAGCGATGGCCTGGACATATTCATTAAATTCGAATGGAGGTGACACCTTTCTCAATGCGATATCATTTTGGAGAAACTTCCCACTAATAATTAATTTTAAATAAATATACTTATTTAAAATATCGATTTAAGGAATAAACTTACGATACATAACCATAATTTGGATGAATTACAATCTTCGTAACTTGGCTAGTTTGTTCGTTTCCTTCAACCTCATTAATATTGTGATCCCCAGCGACGAGTGTGTAGCCGGCCCATATATTTTGAGAACAGTGGGCTGCCGTAACGACCCATTCTGGACTAACGATTGAGCCTGCGCATTTGTGATCGACTTGGCGTATGTCGACCAAAAATTTAAACTCGTGCCTATCAGCCTCCACACCACCGACAATCTTTCCAGTATTTCGTCCAGGAAATACGTACGAGATGGTTTTTGGGTTTGGATTTGGCGCGCCTGTTTAAAATTCAAATTTGAAAAGTTTATAAATATTTAGAAGTTTTTTATCTGTATTTTTTACCATAGGTCGCCACGACCAAAGCGCAGAGCAGATTGAATACAGTTTCCGTCCTCATGATGCAGATGTTGCAGACTATATGTCAAAAGTTGTCAGCGAGTTTACTTTTATATGCTTCGTAGGAAGTAAGGTGTCGTGTGCAAAAATTGACGGATGATGGAATTAAATAATTAACTTAAAAGTTAACTTGTTACGATACATACAATGGTGCGGACTTATTTCAAAGTTCAGCCCTCGTTCGATGTCGGTTCAATATATTAATGATGGCGTGATAGCTATTGATAATTCGCAAACATGATTGCATAATAGGGGATGGACTTCCCATTATCGCAATTAATAACCTACAAAACAATTCCGTTAAGCTTAACGTAGTTGTACAAACAACATGGCATATTGCTTGTACAAAGGTGAGGATCAATTGATGGCATCAATCAAAAAGCTGGGAAACTTGTGATCGGCTCCATACTTTAATTCCGTCGATCACAGCACTTGATCAGAATTGACTTTATATTTTACCATTGCATTACGTAATTTATTTACCGTGTTACGAGTAGTAAGGACTCACGAATCACCAATAAAACTCGCATTTATCGCTATGCCGAACCTAACAATCCTTATTTTTGTAAAATAATTAATTGAACATTTGTCTTTAATAATTAAGCAACAGCAATTACATATTTCTTATGCTCCAAATTGTCGTCCTTAAGTTTCGAGCCCCGAGGAGGCAACTTCAGGGACAGTAATAACTTTGGTTGATGGAAATTATGAGGGTAAATTTGTCATCGTTGTTAAAAAATAAAACAATTATTGGTTAAGGGGATAAAAGAGTTTTAAGGATTATTACAAGATCTTCTGCACTCACGGTTTCCGGATCATATAATACTGTCTCAAATTTGAAAACTCTTTATAATTAAAAAATTCCTTTGATAAATATATATGATACATAACAATTGCTTAGAAGTGTCAGGGAATCGAAGGAAAGTAAATTCCTTATATAACGTCAGCTTATCTGGCTGACGTTGAAATTATTGCGTTAATATAAAAGGCAGCTAATGTGTTTAACAAAATTAGTATGTTTGATTAATATAATGGAATGCATATTGTGTAGTCGTGCACTATTTCGGGCAGAACGGGCATTGCGAAAATAAATTTTGACGGGATTCTGGTTGGTTAATGGTCAAATTTTAACAAATTTTCAACGATACAGGAACTAAAGAACGAACACTAAAGAGTCGAAATAATTACTAGAATTACCAATACCACAACAAATAATTTACGAAATTTGAAACATTTCGCATATGCATATTGGCAAGGACGTACCTTTCTAATTTACTTACAGCTAAAGATTCCACGCCCCCATTAGCGATTTGTGCAATTTTTTTCTGGGATTTCTCATAAAAATTTTTTAACCAGTGTTTCAACTTTTCGCGCTAATTTTATTAAATATACCTCTGTATTTTCTAGGGATATTGAGTGAATCGATAATGCTAGAGTATGGTGACTTAAAAAATATAAAGCAGTTTTAAATCGGACGAAGTTGAGGTACATTGGATCTAATGACATCTATAATCAGTGCCTACTAAAGGGTGTTAATAAAGTCCGATCCCATGCATTTTTTGGAGCGTGGTTGTTACAAATTCAGCTGGAACTTTTGAACCAGTGAAGTTATTTATTTCAAATTTTTACCATGAGAGGAACAACTAAACGTGTAAGTCATGAGCATCTTAGAGTTGAGATACAAACATTGCATCAGCAGGGGCTTAAACCTACAGAAATTGTGCAAAAATTGGGCTGCAGCCGCAGAACTGTTTGGAAATGGAAGAATAAAAATTTTGTCCACGACAAAAAGCGACCAGGGCGACCCAGAAAGGTGTCACCTACCACAAAAAGAATGATTAAAAACAGACTTTGCAAGAAAACCGGTAGTTCATTACGTAATTGAGCAAGGGAGTTAAATGACTCAAAACGCTATAAAGAGAAGAAGAAGCAAATTAACTGTGTGACCGTGCAAAAATTTGTGAAAACTACGAAGTGGGGTCACACAGCTTACAAACTAACCAAAAAAACCTCTCATGTCACAAAAATATATCGATGACCGTCTGAAATTTGAAGAACTCCTTCAGAAAAGTGCCCATTTGAGTGAAAAAAGACTTGGTGAAGAATTGCGCAGTCACATCCTTTGGACTGACGAATCTATTATTGAACTATATCCAAAATTGAACCAACAAAATGTTCGTTACAGGACAGAAAACAAATCGGATGTACCATCAAGAGCGATCCCAAAATTCGGGCTTAAAGTTATGGTAGCGCGTGGATTTTGTGCACGTTGCGTGACCCCTCTACATATCATACCAAAAGGCAAATCAGTCAATGCAAAGCATTATATGGAAAAAATATTACCTATCTATTTCGATAGCATGGGGAACAAGGAAATATTTCTGAATGAAAGAAAAATAGTTTTCATGCAGGATGGTGCTATAGCCCATACAGCAAAAGCGAGTTTGAGTCTCATCAAGACGCAAGTTTCAACGGTCTGGAGCAAGGGGGTGTGGGCCGCTAACGGCCCAGATTTGAATCCCCTGAAGAACCAGTGGTCCATACTTAAGGAAAATGTATACAAAGAGCCACAACCCCGGACGAGGGAAGAGCTAGTAAAAAAAAGTTCAAGATGTATGGAATTCGATTTCCAGAGGCACATTGGAAAAATTAGCACAGAGCCTTAAACAAAGAGTTGAGGGCATGGTTAAAGTAAATGGTAACAAGACCAAATACTAAGGTAAATATGTCGAACATTTTTTGTAAGTATCACGGGTAGTTTTTTTTTATACTAGCCTTCACTTTTTTACAGGAAAAATGGGATCGGACTTTATTAACACCCTGTAGGAACCAATGTGATATTTTTAATTTTGAGGTTTCCTGGCGTAGTAACTAATTGTAAGGTCCGGGGAAACAAAATTTTGTTATTTTTATGAACCTTGTTTATAAACGCTTCCAATCCAGGATTTTTACAACTTGTGAGAAAAATGGGTCGCCTAAAATTACATTCGAGAGTGACAGGATTTGAAATGCCGACGCGACTGAATGTACATGCTCAATGCAATTTTTTTCTAATTATTTTTTTTTCTGGGTTTTTCTTCATATGGAACTTTAGTAGGGTAGGACCTTTCATAAAAATGGTATCCAGGAAGAATTTGTTGGTTGACCGTGATTAACCGTACAATTGGTTCCCACGATCACCAGTATTCCACACATTTTCTTCAAAAATTCTGGATGGCCATTACGAATTTTCCCTTTTTGTCTTTCCCTGTAATTTGATGGTGGAATAACGTTTCTGGTAAAGTAGAAAATATATTCTATTTACATACAAATCAATGGATTTGTATTTGATGCTGTCAATTTTTATGTATGATGATAATTACCATTAAATGGTATGAATAAGAAATTCGTGAGCATATAAATTCGTAGGCTTATCTTTAAAGTATAGGGTTAATTATGTGCATCCAACACCGTATAAATAGAAATCAGCGGTTTTACATAATACTCAAAAGAAAAAATTGTTTTCTTTTAGATAATTGGTAAAGCACTTCCATTAAATGTACTTGCCGGGGAAGTGGGGTTTAGAATATTTTATTTTATATATATGCAATTAAAATTGTTATTTAAGAGATTAAATAATCTAATTGCTGATTAAATAAACTAATTGTTATCATGTACCTTGATATTAATTATAGCTAATTATTACTCCGTTAATATTTAATGTTTCCAAAGAGCTGGTTTAAATTTTGAAAAAGGATTCTTTTACATGTAGTTGATCTTAAGAATGATAAATAGTACATAAAAGCCCCATATCTTACACAATTTGGTAATGGCATACGTATTAAGATTTAAATTTTAAATTTTTCCTTCTCAGAAGCTAGTGTAGATAAAACCAAAATAAAATCTTTTGATAAGTTTATCACAAAATTAGTTAGATTTTTCCGCTTGGAATATATCATAGCCCAACATCATTTTCAACACCTCGGCCGTGCTTGGTGCGATAGTCTGCATCACCCCCACCGACCCATATCCATTGATCAAATCCTGGCGCAATTTCTGAATCCATACCCCTTCCATTCCCGTCTTCATGCGGATATGACAAATTAAATTATTCATAGAGGCGGACACAGCAATGTCCACAAATGCCGTGGCAGCCGAGGCGAAGTGAATCTTCTCCATCAATTTAGATGCGTTTTCATAATTTCCTTGTTTAAAAAGTGCGCTGGCAAGGAGCATTACTTTCGATTGACAAAGACTGCGGTTAAGTCGTGGAATCTGGGCGCACAGATTGTCCAAATCTTGCACGATTTTCATAACCTTGCTGATGTTCACGGCGCCACCATTTGGCAATTCTTTGTCAATCCTGGTGAAGATGTTTTCTCGCTCCAACCTAACTTCTGAGCTTTCCACTGATTCCAAGGCGCACAGGGAGCATTTGCAGATAAATTCGTGTGAGTGGAATACATTTAGTCGTTCTTGATAAGGTAAGCCAGGGAAAGTGTAATTTATCAGGATTTCCTCACCCTCTCGGATATCCTTGAAGGCCCGGACTACAATAACGTCTCCAAATATTCCCCAATGAGCGTTGTCTACTGCGCAGGTGTGGTTAATGTACGAAGGTAAAATCCAAATTCCGGTAGATTTCTCTTTCCCGGCGCCGCTAAAGAGTAGACGCTCAGTGTATCCATTACCCGCTAATTTTGAAAATGCGTTGAAAGTTGTGATTAAGTCAATCCGGTTCATATCGACTTCTGCGTCGTCTTTGGCTCCGGAAATGAAGCCAAGTTCCGGTCCGGCGAACAAATTGTAGAATTCGGATCGACATTCTGGCTCCATGGTTAGCTTTTGTCCAATCAATCCAACGAGAGCATCATGACCTGGAATTTAAATTATTGTGCTAAAATGTTTGACTAAAAATGAGAAAATGAATTGTATTCACCTTCACTTTTCATGATTTTGTCTACAAAATTAATGCTGCATGTCGGCATCTCATCAGTCGAGGCGTAAAAGGCAAACGCCTTACTACAAATCAAAAGCTGCCCAGCGGTAATATTCGCGGTCGCAATTACCCCCCTCGTCCCATGACTTGGTTCCACCGTCTCAGAGATTTTTACAGGTCCTGTAAAATCTCCGATTTGAATGTCATCGTTACCCTCCTTGTCCAACTTCATGAGTTCGATTAAATCAATACCCCCGGATTTTGATTGTTTCAAAAGTTTGACAATTTCAGCCTTCACATGCAAAATTTCCAGATTTTTTCTAAGAGTCTTTTTTTTCTCCAGTTTTGACTGCATCAACTGATCCACTGCCTCATACCTTTTCAAGCCAATAAGGCTCCTTGCCATGAGTATGATACCTTTTGCGTTAAACGGGAAAATACTTAACATCTTAGAGGAATCGCAAAAACTTTGTTGGTAACAACGAAGCTTGAGGTATGCTTGGCCCCTCTTTTCCAAGATGTCGACTTGACCCTTGTCAATCTTCAAGGCTTTCGTGTAGGCTGCGATGGCGTCCGCGTACTTTTTCTCTTTGACGTATTCATCTGCCAACTTAGAGTGCCCGATTAATGTGTCTTTTTTTACAGTTTTCTCATCGTGACCACTCGTTATGGCCAGCTTTCTATATTCTCGCGGGATCATGCCTTCCCATACGATGCCCGGAAATATTTGGGACATTTGTTCTTCGTCAAGCATGACGACATCGGTAGGACTGTCAGATCTCACGGTAAGCCCGCCGTCCATCGTATTTTTAAACCAGGGGTTCTTAATCGCCAAAATTGAGCCGACCGGAAGGACTCGTTCCAGGTTGGTTGTAGCGTTGGTGAAGTTGTAGAGGGCGATTCGAACGCCCTTGATTCCCGAGGGGTCATCCACGACGGTCATGATTGACTTCATTTTGTGTGGTGGCATGATGCATCGGCAGAGGAAGTATTTTCCAACGATAGGTGAGTCGATATTTTCAATAAGGTCGTTAATAGAGACCCGATTTTGAGGGAGTAAGTCAACATTTCCAGAATGAGAACGATACCCGGTAAATCTATCGGTTGATTGTATCATGACAATGGAACTATAATTGCTAGGCAGGTCAGGGAAAGGGTTTTGCAATTTTGATAAAAATTTCTTGTCTTCTGCAACCAAGCGCTCCTTGTTTGTGTAATGATCAACTTTGCTACCAAAGTTCATCCCTCTCATCATATCCAAAAGCAGCTGATTCATCATTATGATGGAGTAGCTAATATCTATTTGGACGGACTATGTAGAACAATATTAATAAATCAGAAAATAGATCATTTCATTGTATCATTGTACAAAAGAAATACTTCATAATTTGGATCGTACCAGATTGTGTTTTATATCCGAGTAACTTTTCCAAAAGTAAAATCCAAATCAATTAGCCAGGCGAACTCTGAGAGGTGGAAACTGCAACTGGACTCCTGGGCGTTTGATACTTTATGTTAGTTGTGACTTGATCACCCTTTTATCAAGTTAAGTGATTTTGAGTATCAGTATAACACTGAAATGAGTAATGCTCTCTCTGTAAATAAGTATGGTGTAATGAACCATGCATTCTGCTGAAGTATTTTATTAATGATTGGCAGACAGAAGTGTCAATTACCATCTACTCAACTGATGTCGACAATATTCGTTTATCCGTGTTAACTTAAATCTAACGAAATATAATCACCGTATTTGGTTATTGAATAAATGTCTGATAATTTTATTTGACTGATAACATTCTTTCTGGTGGAGATGTATTTAGTTTTGTAATCATAAATAATTTGGACGATTTGACAAAAACTTAAAAATGCGCCTGGAGAGTGTACCGTCCTTGTAAATTTTGCGTAAGATTGTTATAAATATATTTTGAATTTGAATATTGTCTATTATTTAGCGCAAAACTGGTAATTCCATCGTTAATTTAGTCATATGGTTAACAGTAGTAAATCATTTACATCATGCAATATCTAAAGTCAAGTTCCCCTCCCGTTAATAAGAACAGAACAAGGATACAAGGGGTGGTCATACTATTTGGAAATGCGCATCGTTGATAACAATTCGATATATACGCATAAGAGAAATATGTCGTCCTTTGTTAGATCATGTACATTCATAAACCATTGAAATGGAGGATATTTAGGTCTCGCCTAGTTTATAGTCCAAAATTAATTTCATTTTCATTTCATTTTCCCTATCCTTCAACACTATAGAAATACATTACAGGATAGGGACAATGAAATGAAGATGAAATTCATTTTCTAAACATTCATAAACTAGGTGTGTAGCACTATCACTTTATTCGCCATGATTAAAATAAATTATATAAACTGAAATTATAAAGGATTATCTACCCAAATGATGCAAATTTATTAGAATCTTTCAAATGCAACAGAAATATCGTATGCCAAATGAAAATGCATAACCTTTATTTCAAACATCATTTTCGGCGAATACTAAATCACACCTAATTCCAAGCTGGACAAAGACTATATCGTCCAGTTACGGTACATGATTGCTGTGCGCAACTCATATCGTTGCATCCCAGGTTTAAGCACCTGTCGGAGAATGCAGTCTGCGGGTCTTTACACATCTGTGGAGTGCTGCCATCGTCACACGTTGGTAAATCTGTTTGTAGTGCGGCCGTCCCGCAGAAAGCGTTGTTGGAGCATTGAAAGTGGCAACATTCTATCGTTGGGCAAACGGGAGGTGGGGCTGTGGTAGTAGTTGTTGTAGTTGTGGTGGTTGTGGTGGTGGTCGGAGAAGTTGTTGAGGAAGAAGGACGCACAGTAGATACAGCAGCTATTAATTAAAAGATTAACAAATTATTTTTCCTTGTACACTAGGTAACTTTATCTTCGTAATAATTCTAAAAGGAACAAAGCGAGCATCTGGTTAGTTTACAATAAGTACATACAAACAAAAATTATGTTAACTAGTGGAATTTGTTAATTTTAATGATATGATTTTGTTCTTTTTGGAATTAATGGACAGTATGTGTGTCATAAGGAATTAATACCGCATGGATTTGTGGTTGGGCAAACTCTCAAAATCCATGATTCCACGGTGCTACGGTACAGTTGGCTTCCAATACAATGCCAAGCCTGAAAATTGAATATTGTTAAATTCCTGATTCCATATTGCTATGAATCTTACATTTGCGCCTGAAATAACCAACGTGGCAACTAGTGCGATTTCCAAGGCAATAAATCTTGCCATCTCGGATGAATTTATGTTTGGGGAGATTGGTGCTAAAATTGATTCTCTAACGCTTCCACCGACTACTTTGTAGGTTTACTTTATATTTGTAGCATTCCGTCAGAGGATCTGAATTATTTGTTCAGCTGTTTAATTTTCATTGTAATCTTCTTTATGATTTTTTTAAATAAATGATTTATGCGAGGACAAATTCAAATGGAAAATAGAGGTAAAATCAGCTAAGGAAACATTTGTTTATGGTGTGGTTTTCATTCATTTTTAAACACTTGGGCAAACCCTGATATAGTTTATGAAAGAAAACGTAATGTAGAAATGCAAGATGCTCCATTATCTGTAAAGGTTGTTAGTTAAACGTTCAATGTCATAGAGTATGCAGAGCATGCTGGTGACGCAGTTTTTGTGCTTGCACGGATTGTCAAAAAATACATAATCAATTGTGTTTACATAAGTCTCATGATATTTTCAGTTGTCATGTCAAGTTATATTTATGTAGGAGGCAAGAAGTAGCATGTATCGTTGTATGTATTATGATAACAAAATTGACTCTTATAACCTGCATCCAGAATTTGTACCCAAGTATAAACAATATGCACAGATACTGTTGGTTGAATTAAAGAAATAAAGGATTATTTACATACACCGTCTGAAGTTCAACAGAAAACTATTTTATACATTTTATTTCAACCTGATAAGTTATCAAGCTTAAAAACTTGCCTCAGTTGCAGATATAGCTTTAGGATGGACAAATTACAATCAAAATGGATTATGAAGGCAGGAAGATGAAAATCAAGGAGAAATGTGTAGTAAATATTAACTATTTATTTTTATATCATCAAAAACTACGAACAGTATATTTAATTAAGTAAATTTCTGACAATAATTTTACTTAAACAGCAGTTAGCAATATTTTGTAAATTGCAGATAGATACATATGTGGATTCCGAAGAGGTTAGAGCTACATAATTATATTTTAAGAAGTAACAACATGAGAAAAATTGTGGACACCTTGTTACTAAAACCTTTTGCATAACACCATAATACGTATTCACAAATTTAAGACTTATCTATCGTTGACATGACTTATAACGTGACTAATAATTACAATTATAATTGGTAGCAAATAATCGGAGATTTATAATTATCAACTTAAATCCACCGTAGATTTCAAATTACGCTTAAATCATTAATACATAGTTACTCTAGATTGTCAAAAATTTTAAATTTTAGACAATGTAAAAAATAATTTGCATATAAAAAATATGAAGTTTATTGCGTAAATGCGGTTCATTGTATTACCTAATAACAATAGAACATTTGAATCGTTTCCGTCGTCATTAATCTGTACATTCAAAATTGACTCCAATCCGTCATTGGCCTTATTTTCTAAAATTTCATTTGAAGTATATAAATCGCTATCCATTGAGTACTATTAAACAAATAATATAAACTTACACCATTTCATACCATATCTCCAGGATATTTTTTCGGCATGGTGATCATCACTAATTTCCTGATCCAAATCCATGCGGACTGCTGTGGTTCATATTTGCGATGGGATTGTCTCCAAGGAAATGGGGAACGCTATCCAATGAAGGACAATTATTGTGGGGATTGTGCTTCACCATCGTTAGGATTTGGCTGTTGTGGTAGTGAAGGGGCGCCCGGAGGTGGCCACTACGGATGCAACATATTCTGCTGCAATTGCGAGTGTAGACCTTGGTGTTCCAATTGTACTCATATTCGACCCCCGGTCCCCAAAGCGGTAACTCATCCGATTAAAATAAATAAATGCGTAGACTATGGATTATTGCCGCACATTTTAATAATGACAGAAACCAGGACGAAACACCGCACATAAACCGAAGGGGATGGAAGAATACTCGTTAAAGGAAAAAGTGGACAGAATAATTGAATTGTACGACACAGACAAGGATGGAAAGCTTGATTTTGGCGAGTTCCCCATGAACGTGCGGGTAGGCAGAGGGCACAATGTGGAAGGAATGTATGCTGCTTACCAATTTGAAATAATGGACAAGAATAAGGACGGGTTCATTGAGCCTAAGGAAATAGATAGGAAGTATGAATGAAATATTTTTCAGGATAATAAATCAAACAAATATATCGGGAAAGTAATAGTTTGTCTGCATATGCCATATATATGCCATGGGCTTACTGTTGCTGTTGTTCTAAGAGTCAGAAAAACCTCCGTCCTTTAAACAATCCCCCATAACTTTGGATCCAGAGGTCACACCCTAATGCATGAGGGCTCGTTGGAAAGCTGAGGATATTTGGGGGCCACCCCTTTGTAATTCAGTGACCTAAGCCACACCCACCCGGGACCACACCCCCTCAAATCCAAACTTTGCGCCTGTAAGCTTTATATAGTCATGTGGGGTGTCAATCGAAAGCTCCTGAGATAAGCCAACCAACCCCACAGTAATTTAACCTGATAACCACACCCACCGACAACCACACCCTCCATGTCGAAATTTTTATTTTCTTTATACCACATCGAGTGGGGTATCGTTGGAAAGGTCTTGGTTGTGGCAGCAATTCTGCGACACGAATACCACTATTCTGAGCCACACCCATCTTGGACCACACCCCCTGGTCGAAAAGTTTTATTTTCATTTAAACATATCAAATGGGGTATCGTTGGAAAGGCGTGGGTCTCACCAACCCAACGATAACGAACGTATAACTCTGAACCACACCCACTGTGAACCACACCCCCCATATATCGAAAGTTTTATTTTCGACAAAACCTATCGAGTGGGGTATCGTTGGAAAGGCCTTTGTCGCAGCAACTCTATGATGCTATTACCACCTCTCTGAACTACACCCATCATGAACCACACCCAGTGGGAACCACACCCCCAATGTCGAAATTTTTATTTACGTCGTTACTCATCGAGTGAGCTATCGTTGGAATGGTCTGGATCGCGCATCTCTGCGAATACAAAATTACCATCCTGCACCACACCCATCCTGAACCACACCCCCAGGTCGAAAGTTTTTATCTAAATTGTAATATATTGAGTTGGGTATCGTTGGAAAGGTCTTGGTCTCAACAATTCTGCAAAACCAAAATTTTTTACTTCGAGATGCACCTACTAAAATTCGCCGATGACATGGTCATCGTAGCCCCATCACAACGAGCCCTTCAACTAAAAATCAACCAATTAGAGAAGTTTTGTCGAGAAAATTGCCTCATCGTGAATCTGACCAAGACTCAAGTCGTGGTATTTCGAAGGGGGGGAAGATTGCCAAAAGATATAATCTTTACATATAAAGGATTACCAATCAAAATCGTGAATGAATATACATACCTTGGAGTCACATTTTCATCTTCCTGTCTTTTTCGGAAAGCAGCAGAAAAGTTCAAGACGAAGGGAATGAGTGCACTTGGATCGCTCTGGCCCATCTTATTTAAAGGAAAAGTAGAAAATTGGGACTCCCACTATCAACTATTCTCAAGTATTGCAATGTCGACAGTGCTCTACGCAAGCCATATATGGGGTTACCCTTACGCAGACATCATCGAGCAAGTACAGACACGCTTCTTAAAGAGAATCTTCCATTTGGACAACAGAGTAGCCAACTACGCCATTCGTATGGAAACTAGTTGCACCAAACTACTGTCTAAAATTGCCAAACAAATGATAAACTTCTACATCAAAGTCCAATTAATGGATGAATCACGCATCGCTTATAAATGTATGAAAGCACTCCTCGTTCACTTAAAACCAGGCCAAGAACTGAACAAATATAACTGGACCTCCTACATCCGAGATATTCTGGCCGTGAGTAACTCACAGGACTTGATGATGAAGCCCGGGGCAATCCTCAGCGAAAAACAACGCATTTTACTGGACTTCACCGACTTCCTCAGAAACAACGACACGATGCGAGCCCAATCGTCCCTCAAACACCACTATTGCCACTCATTGCAAGAAGAAAACCGCCTAATTAACCTTGTCAACATGCCACTTGCAAAGCTTAGATTAGTCGCCCAAACTCGACTGAACAACGGCAGATTCTACTTTCGACGCCACCAAACAATCCTAGGGGCAAGCGTAAGGTGTACAATATGCGACCATGATTCTTATGAAGACACCTTTCATTTCCTATTTGAATGTAAAATCCACTCCGGTTCAAGAAAATTACTATTAGATCCATTATTTTGTCAATTAATAATTTCTAGAGACAATTTCAAGGTTTGTATTGCAAATTTAGATGAGAAGGGAAATATTATGTTAGCAAATTATCTCACAGCTTGCCTGCTCAGAAGGAAATTGTTTATGAATCTTGTGGGAGAGTAACGAGAGGATAGAACTAAACTTACGAAATTTGCCTTATATTCCAATAATTTATAGAACTCTACTTAACTAATTATATACATATGTATGTGCTCTATGGGTGTACCTTTTGCGAGCTAATAAATATCTTTCAAATTCAAAAAATTCAAAAAATTCAATATGAATTTTTTCAATATAACTTCATTTTCCGAGTTTTGACTCCGATTGGTGCCGATTTAATTATTTTACGTTTATTCCGCAGTAAAACTAAAAAACCCAAAGGCTCCCATTTTGGTTATGAAAGTCCACACCACCAAGATGACCTCCACCGGTCCAAATCTTTTTGGACAAAAAAGGAATCAAATCCATCTTCGAACTCTATCGTTGCATTGTCTAAATACACCTTTCTACAAAATTTCATCCAAATCGGTAAACGCGTTCTTGAGTTATCGTCAGACAGACAGACGGACAGACAGACATGATGATTTCATAAATTCTGATTCAGGCTAAAAATTGGAATTTAGTGGCAATTTTGGTTTTGCAGAATTGTTGAGACCAAGACCTTTCCAACGATACCCAACTCAATATATTACAATTTAGATAAAAACTTTCGACCTGGGGGTGTGGTTCAGGATGGGTGTGGTGCAGGATGGTAATTTTGTATTCGCAGAGATGCGCGATCCAGACCATTCCAACGATAGCTCACTCGATGAGTAACGACGTAAATAAAAATTTCGACATTGGGGGTGTGGTTCCCACTGGGTGTGGTTCATGATGG